AGAAGCGATTCTACTTGAGGTCGAACAGAGATTATATATAAATATTTTTTAAACGTGACGTGGATTGTTCAACAAAAAAAATTAATCTAACAGTATCTAACTTCAATCTTCCTTTTAAAGAGCCAATAAAGAAAAATTAAGGTCGACAAATCGGCCGCTACAAACCAGCTGGCCAAGTGCTAGAGAAAGGTGGTTTTGTCTAGATTTTACGACACGGCTAAGGTTAGCCAGTTACACCCAATAACATAACATACCTAGTAGCATCACTAGACACGTTAAAGCTATTATTCATTTCACATATGTTTGTTAATAAATAAATAAATATAGCAGTGTTAGTCTTTGCAGTCCTATGAGAAGACTGACGTAACATACAGATAAAAAACTGTTGAATTAAAATTAAAAAACCAGTCGTCGTTTTTGAAAAGACAAAAGATATTACTAAACAAGATGACATTTCCGCGATGTTCTGTGAACTAGCACAAAAAATTGAGTAACAATGAGAATCAAAGTAAGTCAACAGTGTTGTAAAAAACATAGCAGAAAGAAAACTAAACCAGAAATGTAGAACGAATGAAATGGGCACCTTGATTGGGTGTCGTTTTAAAGGTGATAACTACGTATGATGCTTTCCTCTAGATCTTACGAAAAACAGTAAATTGCATATTATAAAGATGTTGTGATTGGTTGGTTTTACTGAGAGAAGATGTAATGCTTTTGATATTATAAATGAGTATGAGCGTATAGTAAAAGGAAAGAGGAAAACCTCTGAGGCGATATATGGAGAAAAACGTTCGTTTCTTTTCAGAATAAGATTATGATTCTAGTTAGATTAAACGTTATTTATGTTACCATCGGTTTTCAACAACTGCTCGAAATTAGGCCATAAACTCATGTTCCAGTTTAGCCTGATATTAATTTGATTCCACTCCTCAATTGGTTTGTTAAAACATCACGTCTCGTCCCAATGATGTTTTGCAACAATAAATTATTCTGTATGTAGCCAATCTGTAAATGGACGAGAACAAAGGTGGTTTTTCGAGGAAACCGCGACACAGAACAATAATAATAACAGAGGAGGAAGACATAAACCAACTCCTGTTGTTTAGACGCGTCTACCGCGTATTTAACACTTCTATTTAACGTTTGACACGTCGCCTTCGGCGGTTACTGGTGACCATTTGACTAAACACACCGCAAAAAGATTAAGTACATGTACTTACATAAATATTTATGATGCCTCTGAACAATTGAAACAAACAAAACGATACTTATTTTTTATGATGTACTTATATCTCACTTTTCCATTAAACGTTAAAAATACTACAAAATTTCAATAAGCATGAATTTATAAAAAATATCGACGTCAAAATGTCATTTGGAATATTTCATATCTAAATATACGTTTGTCATTGAGTACGTTATTTAAGCTATAAATGAAAAATAAAATTGTACTTAATGTGTTTCCTAGTTCTATAAGTTAATGGAGATTGAATTGATGTACCATTACTACATATTTAGTACCTGTCAAAGAGATTTAACGATAAAAGTCGTGTACATTACTGGATTAACTTAATAGACATCTATTACAAAACGATTTATAAAAGTTGAGGATATCACCTAATAGGTATTTTTCAACTGTGTATTGGAGAATAAAGCATTTTATATTACAAGAAGTAAAAAACTAATCGTTTCTTAGAATCCATTCATTCGATAGTGTTACAAAAAATTGAGCACAAAGTACGTGTGCCCAATTTTCATGGAAATTCTTACACTTTCTTTTAGATGTTCCAGTTTGGTTTATAATTACATGTGTAATACAAATTACACTATTATCACCGAGTAACATTGTAACTGTGAGTAACTCTTCGACGCCGTGTGATGTAATTGGTACGTGTCTTAACTAATAATATAGAAAGTGATTGTAGCTACCTTTACCTACTAAGTTAACACCATACATTTCTCCTAACATGGATTGCAGCATTGAATAAGATTACCATGTTGTTATGTCTAGGGAAAGTAGTATTTTATGTTATTACGTAACTATAGCATTGAACGTGCAATCTAGGGAAGCTTTTGCAGCATATTCTTGAAGATTCCTTGGGATACGTATTTAAGTAATAATGTTTACTTTATGGCAAACATGTCGTGGTGGCCCGGAGGTTTAAGACGCTGGCTTCTCATGCATGAGAATGCGGGTTCGAAACCTACCAACGGCAAGTCCCAAGGTGACTTTTTCCGAATTATATGTACTTTCTAAGATTATTTAGACACCACTAACAAACGGTGAAAGAAAACATCGTGAGGAAACCTGGGCTTATAATTTCTAATTATAAGTTTGTAATCGCCAACCCGCATTGAGCAAGCGTGGTGATTAATGCTCAAACCTTCTCCGTGTGAGAGGCTTTGCTCAGCAGTGGGCATTTAGAGGCTGTTGATGATCTTTACTTTATAGTACTCCTGGTGTACTTTTATAATTAACTAGCTACTTCAGTGCGGTTTCACACGCTCTGCCCAGCTCCTATTGGTTGTAGCGTGATGTCTTATAGCCTATAGCCATCCTCGATAAATGCGCTATCCAACACAAAATTAAGAATTATTCAAATCAGACTTGTAGTTATGGAGATTAGCGCGTTCAAACAAAAAAACAAACTCTTCCGCTTTATATAATGGTATAAGATATAAGATTATTGTTTTAGAATATCTGTATCCCAACTACGATGGTAGATTCAGTTTAAACAAAATAAGGTTGAACTGGTTGTATAGGTTAGTAGTAGAAGACGCATGGACGCATCAGATCACCCACCGTGGCAGTATATTATCCTACCACCATTTTCTAGACGACGGCACATGTGCAGAATTTATAAACGGCTGGATTTCACATAATGTTTAAATCGTGCGCATATTTGAATAATACACTCCATGCATCAGACTTAGGAATGTCGCATCGTCTTTCCAGAAGGAATTAAACAAAATGTATATCTTTATGAACTTCCTTTTGTAGTCTTAACTCAAATAAAACTAAGATCATATTGAGAAACGTGATTAAAACGAATCCACTGCTTACCTAGTAATAGTTATCTGTGCAAAAAGCCGGTGTTTCCAAGAAAATAAACTTCTTTATTTTTCATTAATAAACATGTCGGAATTTTCGATTGGTTGGCAGACTGCCTGATCTCTACTATTCCATGTAGTAAATATTTACCAAGTTCACAGCATCAACTACATATAAGTTTATTTCTTCTTGTACCATAACATTGAGGATAAAACTTAAACAGTCCTATTCCAAACAAATAATAAAAAGGTGAATAATGTTACATTATTATGCACAAAATTCATTTAAATAAAGTAACTAACAAAGAAGTACCTATTGACTGATAATATGCTGAATTTGCCGGATCAACGTTTGGAAGAAACAGACGCAAAACGAATGAATGAAAAATGTTGTCAGTCGGAGGAAAGTGAAATTTAGTGAAATAGTAAAAGTAGTTGTAAATGGATTTCATAATGCAAAAAGCACCAAGCAATGATGGGTTAGTCCCGTCAAAAGAAACATTATTTACAGAGAACGTAATGAAGATAAATGATTACGTCGACATGGGTGGTTGCTGTGGTGCTCCAAGTACTCGCTCGTCTCGCAATGATGCAGCTCAATTTGTGCTTAGTAACGGAACATGGATAATTCTTCAGAGAAACTTTATAGCTTCACACCATTTTAATTTAATAACAATCATTGCAATCTACGATTGCAGAGAAATCTATAATATAATCATTTTTTGTTCGCAATTTAAAAAATTTGGCTGATTTTCTTTCATCATCATAAAGCGAAACAATAATTGCAACATCGCCAACTTTTTTATTGTTATCTAACAGGAAAATTAGTTCAGGAAAGGGCAAAACGTGATCCCCAAAGTAAGTAAGGTAGACGCTATTGTTTCTAAAAGTTCACGTGTACGCGCTTCTTTATTCTCCGAGCTTTTGAACAGAAACTGTCGCTGAATACTAACTCGGTGGTTTGTTTCTGTGCCTTCATAAACAAAGGGGTTCTTATTATGTCTAAATCTTGAATGTATCAAGTTTATATGTTGCAACTGAAACGTGTCCACTATGTACTTGTTGTAGAAAGTGTTTAAGTCCAGGTATATGCAACACACGGATTAAGGCATCAGACGTGACCCGGTGGGGCGCTGGCTCTAGCCTTGCGCTCTCCGCTTACACAATTTATTTTGTTGCTCGGTGAACATTATGACATTAGCAACGCTATCAAGGTCTCAACACGCCGCGGATCAACAAAACGCTGGTTTGTCAGTCAAAACTATTCTACGGCCACACATCAATCGAGCATAGAAACTTGAGTCGTTAAAACAAATTAAACGGTCGGCGACTGGAGCCGACAATTTTATCATGAGCAGATCTCGGGTCCCACTAGACTACGTAATCGCCAATTCAAGTGAAGTGAGAATAAAACTTACGGCACCGCGCTAGACATATCGATTACTTTCTCGCTACGTGTTTTCATTGTCGTGACAAGCTTGTTCGACGGCTAACTTAACCTTTTTATTGGCCGTATTTACCTACGACTCCCTTATCTTGGTAACATTGTGCCTTTGTGCAGTCGAAAAATGCAAACAAGAGATTAGCCGTCGTTGTACAAACATAGCCTTGAATAAGTCACTTAGATAAGTACTACTAACTTTACTTCCCAAAAGAATACATTTCAATGAGAAGATGATAACAAAAAAAGAAATGTTTTTCACGTGGAAGAACCATGCTTCCGTACTGATCAGAAACTCGACCGGAGTGATACCATGGCCTGATAGAAAACCGGCGAAACACTTGCGTTGTTTTAACTTGTTTTACCGTGTGGTAAAAACCAGCAATGCACTTGTAACTTGCGTATGTGTTGCGTATGTGTATGTCCATACCCGACGCTGATTGCTTGCCATCAGATAATTCGTCCGTTCGTTTGCCACCCTGTCCCAAACAAAAATTCTAGGTCTTACCTCTTCATCTTCTGCTATAAATTCTACTGTAGTTTGTTTTTGCTGTTCTACGTTGTTTAATTTCGCGGGCCGTCCGTCTGCTTGCTCCAATACTGAAACAAAAGACCGCATACGTGACTCATCGTATTACTTATCTTAGTTAAGGTCGGTATTTCCCAATGGAGATAATAAATGGTTCGGATGCTTTTGGCAACAAAATATATTGTAGTCTGAACGCATTCTAGCCACACGATACGACAACTTTTTATTGTTCTCTTTAGAATAAAAAGCTAAATATAAAACATCGGTTGAACTGCAGGTTCATTACAGGATGCATGTTCAGGCCTAGCCAAATAAATGTATAAGAGCAGATCGATGTGAGTCAGACGTATGTCAGGCATTGGGCTGGTTTATTCCAGACTGACTAACAGACTGTAGTAAAAAATACATTGATTGGTACACAGAGTATACGTGCTCTGGAATGTCGAATACAAAGACACATCAAACTTTTTTTTAAGAAAATTTGAAGAGTAAGTATGCGGAAAAACGTGCGGCCGTTTCAAATGAATCACACAGTTTATTTGTTTAGGTAATGGACAGTTTTTGCTAGTATTAGGCAAAAATAATACTCTTGAATTTGCAGAACCATTTTTTAATGTAAATAAGCCAAGATCTTGGTGAACACTGTTATTATATCAAAGGATTTATAAGAAAATGGCCTTTTCAATAGTTGAAAAGGTTAAAAACTTTTATAAAAAGGGATAATTCTGTAAAATTAATCTAAAGTTATCTTTATATCTCCGTCCGACTTTGAAGTTTTTGTCTGAAATGTTTTTAGTAAGGTACTAAGGAAAGGTAAAAATGAGGAAATCTTCCTTCAGGAAAAGATAACGAAAATGCTAGAATAGAAAAAATACCACGGTGAGTTTGTTGACACGTTAAACATGATCCATCCAAATTGGTTAGATAAGTCCAGTCCAGTCTAATGCTTATAGATAGGAACGACTCGAGAGAAATTGCACTAAATAGAACAGAAAATCGAGTAAAAAATAACAATAAATTGTAATGCAATGCAATAGACAACTCTATTTCATTTTGTATTTATTGAAATTTGCTATTTAGGTCTTTGTAGAAAAAAATTAGTGATGTGTTTGTTAGCAGATAAAAGTTAATGTGCTTGTCATCGGGTTTGTTCAGACGTTAATCAGCACAGTGGATTTGCATAGATAGGTATTGGGAAAACCACGACTACGAAAAACTAGTATCTACTTACATACATAAAAAGCCAGATAAATAATTAAGATCCAATAAAATACAACCAAAAGAGTTAACAAGACCATTTTATTTGCGTATTGACGCAACAATACATTTACCAAGGATTCCACATAAGCTGATAGACTTAGGACTTAGGTATACATATGTGAAATATAAATCCTATCTTTACTGTCGCGTCGTCCGGTATAAAGTAAAAGAACATGCCTCATATTATGTAGAATGCTTGCCTAGAAAGCAGCAAAAAGAAATTACTTTCAAATCATTTCCGAAGTTATTTATCTTCGATCAGAACGCGCGTTTGCTGTTGGGTTCGAAGAGCTTGCGACATTTTTTTATTTTTATCGAAGAGAGCCATGTTTAATGCATGGAATCATGTTCCTATTGCAATTACTTATCAGTAGCATACTTGCACATTGTATAATTATCACAGAACTTAAAAGAATCATAAGTACAATCGTCAAAAACCCAACACGAATTATTATATTATTAGTAAATTGTGTTAGTGCAATTATACCAATGTACAATTTTAGAAGATCACAAACTGTACCTATCACAATCATTGGTTAGGGAAGTCCACCATGACTAATAAAGGTGACTGTTCACGGTGTGTTGAATCCCACGCCCGGCTTGCTACAGCTGCAGTATATAAACATCGTTTGTGGCTGTCTACATTTCATTAGGCATTTTAAATTCTTGTATGTTTAGGTGGATTATTCTGAGCAATCCTCAACTCACTGACACGTGTATTAGATGTAAATGAATTGAAGAGAAAGAAACGAAAAACGAGGACCCCTCTCAATTTCTTAATTAAAGCTTTAAATTGTACTATGTATTTTCAAAAGTTTAAAACAGTATGATCTGGCACGTATATACCGAAAGTAATTTTTCGCTAAGTCCGTTTCCTTGTAAAAGTTTTTAGGATACCGTATCAAATGGAAACACGAACCATGAACACGAACAATGACCGTGATATCGAATTCTTTGAACATGAACAAAACTCAGTAAGTGCCAGTAGGTGCAATAAGCCACCGTTTGGAATTACCAGTTGGCGTTTAGGGGAACATAAAAATATAGCACGAGTTTATCCAGATATAAAACATAAATAGGACAGTGTTTTAGATACTAGACCTCGCTACACGCTGACATAAAAACTGGATAAGATTACACAAACGTTGCCAACACAGATTTTGGCAACTAAGCTTACGCCAAAATATTTCCTTTGGCGACATAAATTGTAATGGAAACGACGTACATATTAATTGAGTTTTGATAACAGGGTTTCAATTAACACAGTAGATAAAACACGTCCGCTCATTATCATTGACAGTGCGGGGGTATGTGCACCTCGTCTAGTTGTACTTATATACCATGTTCATTATACATCATTCTCCATTGGCCACTATCATGAAGGTTAGAGCCAGTCACATTCTTGATACGAAAATAATAAGGATTATATTATAGGTTCATTTATTGTGATTCATACAGAAACGAATTGAGGAAACAGCTGTTATATGTCAAGGGTTTTTTTATTTATTTCATAAACATAATTTATTGGGACTAATTTAATAGGTGCACATAATTCTATGATTATTACGGAAAAATATCTTTTTTATATCTGATTTTAAACCTAAATCTTGTGATCTTGTGTAAATAACTGAGAGTGTCAAGGAAATTGATTAAGTCATTAGGTGTTGCCGGATTCCACGTAGTCGACGTGTCCATTTCGATAATATCTCTTAGTGACCTACAAAGCTTTTTTGCCGAATTAAATGGCGGAACTGTAGACGTAACGGTCAACAAACATCCACGCTCGTAGATCTGACTGATAGCTTCACAAGCAACATTCTTAATTTGACAATAAAGAAGTGGGTCTATGTAATGTAATGCCTTGGCATCGTTTCTAGAGAAGCCGGCCGTAAATCATATAACGAAAAGACCCGACTTTTAAAGACAAAAGCGAGGACGTTAAAACGATTTCGACATAGCTTTTATTGCATGAAAAAGCAAAAACACAAAGAAAAAAGTCTGTAGGTAATCATATGTGTGGTGAAGGGGGTGTCGTGTGTTATACTTCAGGTTATGGTAATGCCTTGTGACACCACTATGTATGTAATATACCTAATTAACAATCTTCCGCTGCCAGAAGTATCTATCTTTAAGTTCACATGTGTAAGTAATAGAATGGTTGCGGATTGCTTTCGACCTTTTACTTGGAAGGGGAACGAGGACATACTTACCGGTCTATCCACACCACATCGATGTGATCTAACACCGTAAGTACACGTGATTGAATACATTACAATAATGGCACTGACAACAAACAATTGACTCCATTCAATTCCAACTAAATAACTTACTAAACTGGAAATAAAATACTAATAGAGGCCTGTCAATTGTTAATAGAACCAGTGGCGTCATTGACGCCAACGTCACCCCAATCGGCAATAGCATGGACAATAATATATACAAACAGTATACAGGAACCTATCGCAAATTAAAATGCCATAGAGCTCTAGCATCAGCTCCAGTGCCACACTAAATGGGCACTAATGATAATTCATTACGAATTCAGACAAAAACTATTCTTCTGATGAATAATGAAAAATGTAGCCACGATATTTTTCTTATAGTTCCCTTTGTTATCAACAACCCTCAAAGCGTAGACTATGAAATCGATTAACTATTCTTACTTTAATAAAGTTTCAAATGAGTGCATTGGTGTTAATTAGCGATGTCGCTAACCTTAGAGACGTTGCATCTAAAATGAAACCGCACAAGGTTGCGAGTGTAACCGGTGCAGGCGCCCCGGTTGTCCGCAATCAAATGCACGCCTAAGATATTACACTAATAAAGCTAGACAACAACGAAACCCACTTCGGTGGAGACGTACTAAACTTTACTAAAGTACTACTTTATCTGTGCAACGAGAGAAACGCCGATCTAGGCGGTTTTATCTCAGGCGAAGCTTCAATGAATATGTACTGCACCGATCTTATTCAGTGGTGGGTGCAGGCGATGCATGGTCTATGACATCATGGCACATCCAGTGTAACGAGTGTTCGTACTTCATTGTGTGTATGGCATGATGTCAAACAACGGTACACGTATGCAAATTAATCAGTCTCCATGATTATCTGTAATCAAACCTTTGTGTTGCACAGTGTGTCGTTTGAATCATGGCTAACGAAGGGAACAACGAGACTAATGCTAATGAAGGGATCGTACAGAGAGGCTATAATTTAATTCAATATTGGCAGTTTACTTATTTGCGGTCGGTACACCGCATTCGTTGACAAAAAAAAGTGATCAGATTTTTTCTTTGTTCATTGTATGATGCTCAAAATGTTTATCACCTGATAATTTTATTGTAAAAATAAAAATAAAATTTAGCCTTGTACAGGCAGTACTATGTACATAGTAGATTACATCAATGCCCTCTAACGATATTATTGCACTGTATAAGCAAGGACAAAAAATGTGCTTTTATTTTATTCAACTTCAGAAGGAAGATATACGAAAAAAGAATTTTCTATTAAATAATTATTACGTGAACACTAAATATTCGTTATACACTTTTGGTGACACAGAAACATGAAATACAAAATAATCAAGTTCAATTTATGTTAATAAAAACATTTAATCAGCATAATTAGTATTACATTAACATTTACTACGTCACGTATTTTTTTTTTAGCTAGATATTATGATGAATCGCACTTATATCCCACACATCAACACGGATGGATTTAAGATACGTTTAAAAATACACAAGAATGCGATTAGCAACGTTATTGGATTTTTTATTAACGTGGGCTAATAATCATAGCCTAAGAATTCC